AGGATTATTTAGAGCTTTTAATTTAGCGGCTTTTCTTTTTTCGCACATGTTTAAGCAATCTTCATCAAACCACGGTTTGTTATTCTTATTTTCCTTTTTTCCTAGGCACGAGTTACCGACCGCTTTAATATTATCCCTGATCTCTACCCATAACTTGTCAATATCCTCGTGGTCCTCGTCAGGAAGCTCTAAAGCTTCAAACCTATTCTTAACATCTAGCTCGAATTGGTTTCTAATTGATGGATTTTTTAATTTTTCCAAATTAAAATTCTCAAAATCGAAACGGTTTTCTTTTCTCTTTTTTATATTAAGTTTTTGTCGAAGTTTCGCGATTACTAATTCATGATCCGACCCACATTCTGCTCCGCGATAAGACCGTACATTGATTATACTGCTTTGCCAGCTATGTTGTATCAAGACATGATCGATTTGATTTCGTGTTTGCGAATCCGGTGATGTCCAAGTATATTTATGAATATCCTTATGTTTAAACGTCGTACTTTTAATTATCAGGTTTTTCGAGATGGCAAAGTTTATCAGACGGATCCCATTATCATTACTATATTCGTGCAAACTTTCTTTACCAATCGTCGGAATATAAACTTCTTCCCTTCCTACCTTTGCGTTCGCGTCACCTACAATTATTTTCATGTAATTTCGCGGTAGTTTATCATAAACCCATTCGAGTTTATCGTAAAATTCACTTTTGACTTCATCGTCACTGTCTTCGGTCGGACAATGTATGTTTATTAATGCGATTTTAAACCAACGTCCCTGAAATGTAGCTACCGAAATTCTATCACTAAAGAATTGTACGTCCCTCAAACATACTACATATTGTACATACATATTGTACGTCCCTCATACATACTTCCTTTGAGACAGTTGTAATATTTTTCAATAAATAAGTTGGAAAAAAAAATTCACAGATGTTGGATTTGGTAAGTAAAAATAAATAAATTATATTTATTTTTATTCAGGCCTTTATCAGGGCTAAGAAAAGACAAGATAGCATAAATATGAGAAACTGAATATGTGAAAAGGTAAATATATGATATATAAATAAAGAGAGCATAAAATAACGATGACAAAGTTGGTAATGGAAAATAATGGAAGAAAAGTTAGAATATATAAGATTACAGTAACGAAGTAATGCTACTAATGGAACAATGGTAAAGGCAAAAAATAAAAGGTAATAAAGTGGTGAAGTAAAGAATATGAAAATAAGAATAACAACTTAAGGGAATATTATCTATAATGTCATGGTATCATATTGTTTACTTCAACACTTTATTACCTTTTTACATAACTTCCTTTGTTCCATTATTACATTAGTCTCAAACTTTGTTACCGTTCAGCTTCCGCTATTTAATATTTCCAACAATGTTACCGTTATTTATATCATATACTACTTGATTTATATCATATATTTGCCTTTTCACATATTTATGAATATTAAGTTTACTCTATCTACATGTTATTAAATGATGCCTTTCACCTATATATTATTACTATTACCGTCTTCCAGTTTCTCATATTTATTTATCTTATGTTTTCTTAGCCATGATGAAGGCCTGAATCTTGGATAAAAACATCGGCAAAAATAAAAAAATAATATAATTTATTTCAAAATGGATATATCATTTATTTATCCATCTTTTCTTCAATATGTCTGCAATATTCAATTAATAATCCTTTATTTTTCAATGTTTATATCCCTTCGGTAAATAAAGTAATGGCATAGTTTTGGAGCATATTTATGAAACATCGATATGAAGTTGTCTGAAGTTTAGTTTAACGACTCCTGAAGTAAACCCAAAATTAGCCAAACTATCATTAGGTTTATGAGATTTGCAATTGGATGCAAAAGTGGAGTATATCATTTTTGTAATAAATAATAATTAATTTTTGAGCGTATCAGTTACATGTTTTTAAATAGTTCGACTTTTGGACTTTTTTTTTTTTTTGGTTCCTCCCCTTTCTCGCCGTTAAGGCTATACGGGGTTTTCCCGGGCCAGGGAGTGTGGGCGGGGATTTAAAAGACCCCCTCGGCACCGGGACGCGAACTCGTGACTATTTTTATATCATTAGATTCATATGTCAGGTTGCCGGGCAACGGCGGTGCTGTGCACACGCTTTATCCCATTTGGCCACCCCGCCCACAAATAGTTGGATATGATTAAGACAGCGTATTATATAAGCTGTCGTTCCTACCAACAAATATTCATTATTATCCTATACTTATCTTAATAGAAGTTCCCCCAAAGTGTTGAATATCTCAAATCTTCAGTTTTTAACTTGGACCAATTTTTTATTAAACGATACTATATTATGATTATCTTGTGTGTTTTTTTTTTTGTTTTTTTTTTTCATTCCTGGAATCACCTCCAGCTCAATCCAATTTCAAATAGTTAACAAGATACATCCGTACATACATACTTCCTTTGAGACAGATTGTAATATTTTTCAATAAATAAGTTGAAAAAAAAAATTCACAAATGTTGGATTTGGTTTATATTTTATAATATACTAGCTTTATCCGGCCACGCGCTGCTGTGGCTTAGCCTGGCAAAATGGAAAAGAAAGAAAATAGAAAGCACATATGAGTAGATTAGTAGCAAAGGACATCTGTCATTTTTAAAAAGTTGGGAAACAAATTTGTTTGTAAAATGGCTTCAATTGAAACTAATTCTAATTCTTTTTTTTTCTCATGATTCAAATTGATCATTCTTAATCATCAGAGTAAATACGCAGTCATTCATAATCATCAGAAACAGTCTGAGTTGATCTTGTAAAACTAAATTAAAAAAAACTTATAATAGTATTGACCTACATAAGGAGAATCATATAAATTCTTGAAATGATAATTTCAATTACTATAGTAATTATAAAATTTTCGATTAATCTTAATCTTAATCTTAATTTTAATTTTTTATCTCCACTTCTAATATGCTTGCTGGGGTACGGTTTGTTGCAATTTGTGCAGTTTACGTGACCCCAAACCCCTGATTTTTTTCGTGTTTATAGGTGGAGCCATTATTAAGTTATCACACTGTTTGTAGTTTCCGAAATAAAATTGAAGGTCCCACCCTTGACGAAAATTTGAGAGAAAAAAAAATTATTTTTCGATTCCAGTGAAAATTGGTAATTGAGGGTTTATGGAGGTGCGAAATACAAATCTGAACTTTGTTTTTCCTTAAAAAAATAATTTAACCCACTTTACTCCTACGGCCGCTAGAAATAGTTTTATTTCGGAGATAATGCTTACCTATTTCGATGACATCTTTTTTATTGTGTCGGCAAATCAGAAATCTTTCAAAAAATGTGGGTATTATCAGTCAAAAATTGTGTACTTTTTTAGTTATCGTCAAATAAAATATTGAATTCATCGTAACATTTTTCAGCTTGTTTTCGGGAAAGTATGTTATACACATAGATTAAAAAGGTTTCAAGGGGAAGACTTTAGCCAAGTTTCGTTAAAATCGGTAAAGCCGTTTTGGCACTACAGTTTATAGCGACACATTTTTTGCGGCTTTGAACAGAAAAACATTTACATTTTTATTTTTTTTACATATATAAAATTATCGTAAGACAGAAATATTATGCCAGAAACCTTCCCAGGAGTGTACGGAACAACTTCACAAAGTTTCATGGCGATCGGTTGAATGGTTTAGTAATGCACTAAGGACAAACAGACGGACAGGCAGACATACATTCATTTTTATATATATAGATAGTTTAATATTTTTACAACAAAGATAGGATTTAATTAATAGCTTAGATAAGATCATAAAAAGATTTTTGTTTAGGAACACATATATATATATATATATATATATATATATATATATATATATATTTTTTTTTTAAATGAACATAGGATTATCTGTATTATATTCAATCGTTTAAGGGGAGACCATGGACCTGGTGCTATATTACGAGAAAAAAAAACCTGAGATTTTTTTATTCTAGAAACTTTATTTATAAACTCTATTCCTAAAAAGTTTCACAGAAACTGTTACAATGGAACTTTTTAAAAATACTTCATAAAAGTTTCAATCCCTTGCTTTAATTTCAAAAAACCAATAAAAATATAATAAGGCTTGGATGCTAAGAAATTACATTCTACCAGTTAAAAGTATAAATCATTGCAATTGCCCCTGTGGTATAGTGCGGTAGCAGCAGACGGGTTTGATGAGGCAACGTCAAATCAAGGGGACTTTACGAATCAGTGCATTCAAGTATAATGTGAATCAGATTTATGATCTTTCCAGATGTAATTGTTAAAAAAAAAACTATGTCGGATTAAGAATATAATAAATATAATATTATGATGGGATAAGATGGAATAAGAAATAAATAAGATAAAGGGGAATAAGAAATGACCTTATTCCCAATTAAATAGTTAAGTTTAAATTTAATACTCAAAGGTCGATTAAGGAAAAGTTGTAAATATATATATATATGAAAATTAGAGAAAAAACAATTAAAATAATCTTGTTAAATCTCAATACACGCGCCTTTCAACCCACGCAACGTTCATGGTATGTTTCATTTATTATTAGCTAATAAAGAAATCATTATACAAATTTAATCAGTGATTTTTTTTCTCATTTATAACCCATCTTAAATAAATACTGTTAACAAATCTTACTTATATACCTCAGAAAATAAGTATCTCCTTTAGGACTATTGAAGAAAATATCCCCATTTTATTTTTTTTTTCCTAAAACCAGATTAGTATAGGTGGATATATACTATAGCATAAAGGAAGGGGAGTGTCCAGTGTGTCAGTCACAAAATTTAATATATATTACATTTTTTTAACAGATAGAAATGGAACCGATAGAAATATATCGAATAGATGAATATTTTCTGAAATCCCTCCTCACCTCAGAAAATCAAACAACCAGAATCGTTTATTGCTCTAATAACTTCTTTTAAAACCAAATCAGCAAATATTATAATTTATGTTCACATGTTATAAATACAATTTTTAGCTGCTTCGCTTTTGGCGGCGATGGACCAAAACGTCGACCCTTGCGTGGACTTCTTCCAATTCGCCTGTGGGACATGGAACAAGATGCACCTCATTCCGGAAGATAGAAGTAGTATCAGTGTTTTTGAAGTATTGTCCGATCAGCTTCAGGTAATCTTGAAAGGTAACTGACCAATATTAAACTATCTGCTGTGTTTTTAGATAAATATAGACATGTTAAAGGGGATTTGGAACTACTTGTTGATGAGAAATTCTGATTTTTCAGGTGTTCTAGAAGAACCTTACAATGACGAAGATAGTCAAGCTACGAAGAAAGCAAAATTATTTTACAGAACGTGTATGGATATAAGTAAGTAACTAAGAATATTCATAGCAATGCATGACAGATAACGCTTACAGAGGCTTATTCCTCTGCCAAACAGAAACTTTTTGTAGTGATTCAACATCTAATTATGAATGAAATTAATTTTTATCCATCAACATCCCGTCGTACTCTGGTACCCATAATAATGAATAATTACACTAACACTTAATAATTTTGAAATAATTAAACTATAAAATAAGAGACAATTGTATACGGGATGTCCAGTAGGTAGAGAGAAATATTTAAAAGGTTGATCGAATTCATCAAGATCTTCATATAAATAATTTCCCAATTTCCAGCAGAAAAAAATGGAAAAAAAATTTTTTATTTTTTATTTTTAGCTAGTCACGTTTTTTGTTGAATAGGAGGCGATAACTAAAACAATATTTGATTGTAGTGATTAAACATTGCTCTATAGTAAACTAGAAAAAATTAAACATAGTAAACGAAACTTGAGTTTGTCATTTTTAAAACTATCTAAAGTGAACTTTTGAGTGGCTAACAAACAGCTGAGTTCCGTTTAAAAAAAATCATAAATTATTTGTTTATTTTTTTTATCATCCATCAGTACAACATTTACCCCACTTTAAAAAAAAACTTCCTTGTTTAATAAGCTTTAGTCCATATAATTTAAGTTGAGGTTTATTAGGAAAAACTTTGAGATTCATCTCAAGTTGTGTACAGAAATGATGTAATTTTTTATCCAGCCACATAAAAGCACCAGTGTTTTCAGCAAAAATCACTAACTGTTGCAAAGCTTTTATTTCTTGTTTTTGCGTGATATAGGATGTGGAATAAAAAAAAAAATTGACTAAAAACAACTTTTATCCATAGTTTAATATCACCAATTGCATATTTAGTTTTCAAAAACTGAGAAAAACATATTTTACGGTGACAAACTTTTTACTAAAAAAAATTATTTTATCTGTTTCTAAAAAATGTTTTTATCTGTTTTGTCAAAGTCTAAAAAATTTCATATTTATGTTAAAATTTACATTTGTCGACGTCAAATAGAAAATTGAATTCGAGGCATTGAAGCTGTCAGTCAAACCAAATAGACTGTAATCAATTTCCTCTCAAATGGAATATGTCAGTCCCTCTTTGGTTATTCATGTTCATGAGATTTTATCATGCCATCATCACTCAAATGTATTCAATACAATTACAATAGAAATCTTCTCTCTGGCCCTAAATAATATATTAATTACAATTAAAGTTACAGTACAATTAGATCATATCTCTTTAAATCCAAGTTTTGTTAATTAAATTATAATGATTATTACTTCGATCATATACAAATTAGAGTAATGTACTTTATTAATTTAGCTAATGGATACTGCTTCCACAATGCTGTGCTAACAGATCCAGGATTTAATTTAGGAGGATGGCTTCAGCCCAAAAGATTTTTTGTATGTATATACTAGGATAATTACTTCCTATTAAATGTAATTAGACGAACAATAATACTATTAGAAATAATATTTTTCATAAAAACATATTTTACTATTTTTGGAGGGGGCTTCAGCTCGAAAGCCTCTTCCCTCCTCTCCCCCCCCGTATATCCTCCTATGGCCCCCTTTTCCTCCTGTGGCTTTACGTGATAGTTGATTCGGGAGGAACATGTATTAGTCATCGAGATATCGAGTTGGAAATGATTTTGTTTACTGGCTATAGAGAAATTTGATCAAAGTTTAAAAAAATTACCGAGAAGAATACTTTAAAAAATATCAAACAGAAAAAACAAATTAAAACTGGTGTGTAAAGCTCTTCTAAACAAATAAAAATAGTGCTCTAAGAATAATTAAAAATCGATAATATATCCTAATATATAAAACTGATAGTATTTATAATTAAAATTTGTTTAAATGTTTATTTTTAAAGTCCTGAATGTTATTATACCATCATGTAGAAAGGTATGCAGCTATTTTTTTTCCCTATTAAATCCACACGTGGCCTTAATGTCAAAATGTGTCTGGAGTAGTCCAGTATGACAGAAAGGTATATTCCAAGGGACATTCGACAAGGCGTGATGTATTGAATAAAGAAGGAGCAGAGTACTGTAGAGAGAGGATAGGAATGAGGAACTTCTTTTAATGCTACAATTATCAATACAATGCAATCATATTAATAATTGTTAGCTCATACGAGGAAAATCCAACAACAAATCTTTGTGTTTCTAAAATGGAGGTAAAAAACAAAATAACCTGCCAAAGTTTCGCCAATTAAGCCATCAACGGAACAGAAAAAAAGTAAGATAACATCATTCCGTGACACAGGCGAACCTACTGGGAGGGGGGTTGTCTGGCTGATCTCCCTCCATAAATAGTTAAAATGTACCACGATTTATGTTGAGAAATATTAAAATATTATCTCTTAAAGTATTATTGTTCGTGTAATTACATTTAATAGGACTTCGAGAATCACTTAAACACCATTTCATATATATATATTTTTTTGTTCTTGTTCTTTCCTATCTCGCTTTTTAGGCTATACGAGATTTTCCCGGGCCGGAGGGTGAGGGCGGAGAATTTAAAATTCGGGACGCGAACTCCTACTTTTTTAAAAATCTCATAACATCGGTTATCTGGTTGCCGGGCAACTTGCGATGCTGTGCACACGAGTTAGCCCACTGGACCACCCCCCCTCTCACCATTTCAGATATGTAGCTCGTATCTTTCTTTTTTTTTCAAAGTAGTTATCGTTACATATATGAAAAAAAAAGCTGAAGCTCCCCTCTAAAACGAAATCCTGGATCAGCCAGTGCTCCATGACATCCAAAAACATACTGCTTCTTTATATGTACTTATTAATGTTGGTAGGGCTATTAATATTACATAATATTGAAATGTAATATGCGACGAAATATTTAAAACAGGAATATCTAGCTATTTTTCTTTTCTTCCATACCCCGATAATAGGTTACAGGTCATAACTCATCCGTGGAGAAATGGCGACCTTTCATGCTCCTTTCACATTTGGAAAGAAACCAAAGTTACAACACAACACAATGCAAGGTCTGTGCTCTTGTGCGCTTGTTATAATAGTTAGATCTATTTTAACAAGCCAATATGTGTATATATATATATATATATATATATATATATATATATATATATATATATATATATATATATATAGCCAACACTTATATACAAATATTTATAGGAAAGTGGTGTTACGAAGTCAGTCAAGACTGATGTTTCTTTCATAATATTTAAATTATTTCATATTGTTAAAATATTCAATATATATAAATATTTCAAATCAAATATATTTTAATCAGGGTACTAAAATTTATTTTATTTGAATCTAAGGATCAAATATAGAGGTTAGCTATATATATTGAATCCCTAACCGAAACATTAGAGGCATCCGTGACAGGAACTGTCGAGTACTCTGTTTTCTAGTTATTTTACGGAGTTAAAAATAGAAGGTAAGAAGAAGCAGAGAAGGAACTGTGATATTCATAATTTGGAAGAATTATCCGCTTACTCAGAGCTTTTGAAGAATAAGTTCGAGATTTTAAAATTAATTGAGAATTATATATTTGATCTTTGAAAAGACAGTGATGTATTTGAAGAAGAATTATCAGATGATGAAGTGGCAGATGGATACAGGAAAAGGTCTGCGCTTCTTCAAAGTAAGTACCAGAATATCATTAAAGCTTTAAACATTTCTATTGGAAATAACGATCAACATTGTGTTAAGTCGGTTTTTGACAGAAGAAGATTTAGTTTGTTTGATACTCCTCTAAAAGTCTGTGATAGTTCAAAGTCATCATCAATCCGTTGCCAGGTTTTTGGTGTTAGAGCATTTGAGAATGAAGATGAAGACATATATGCTAGGGAGGATAGTATTAGAACATTTAAGGATAAAGATAAAGATATATATGCTAAATAAGATGCTAATGAAGTCAGCATTAGAGCGTTTGAGGATGAAGGTTGCATTAGAGTTTTTGAGATGAAGATGCATGATAAATATGATGCTAAGGAAGAGAGCATTCTAAAAATGACATGTCCAGTTATGAATTTTCTTTGAAAACCAGTGCTTTTTGAAGGAGGCTAGGAGCGAGGAAAGAAAAAGAGGTGCTCGCAGTGACTGAACATTACAATTTCATTGAAGGCCTTATGCCAGGTAAAAGCCAAAGTTGCAGAAAGAAATATTATCCACTTCCTGAACTGCAACATTAATTTGATCTAAAATTTACTCGAAAAAAATTAAGATTTGTTTCTGAAGTTGTTGGAAATGGCCAAGCAATGAGAGGAGAATATATAGTTGTTTTTTTTTGACAGAGCGAACTTTTCAGGCGAATCATTGCCAGACCATCGAAAGGAAGGCAAAACTGATCTCAATGAACAAGCTGAAGAAGACAAAACTTCTGATAAGTTAGGTTTTAAATCATTCATTGGCGATCCTGCAAAACAAGTGAGATATGAAAGATATCTCAGTTTTATAAAGATAGGAGCTAATGATGATTTGAAAAATATTCAATCTGAGAAATTGTCCCCAGGAATAGTAAAAGAGAAAAATGATAAAAATTATGTCATTAAAATTCAAAATGTAAACTGAAAATTCAAAATTCAGCAGCTGCAAATATGGCTGTTGCTCCAGAACTAATGAATGTTCCCTCACGACCAACAAAATCAATTTTAATAGAGAAAACTCCTACAAATAAAAGAAGACACTGAGTCTTCTTCATATGAGTTACAGCCGTTCCTACATAATCTGAACGAAACCTGGAAATTTCTAATCATAGTCATCAACAAAAGGTATCGGAGCCACTGCCGTTCTAACCTTTAAGGAGGATTATAAGGATGACTGGATCTAGATAGTAACTAGGCTGAGGTATTTGGAAATTAATACAGATGATACAGTAAGGTCTAAAACGAAATAGATGTTACATTATCTGTACTCCTGTTATTTATCTTATGAACCATATTTTCCGGGAATGAATTTTCCGTCTTTGGAATCAAAACGTTATGCTCTTTGTATTATTTTAATGCACCAAATGAGGTTTTTAATGAATAAATATCTAAATTCACCTATATATTTTTTAAAAAAATAAGCTACCTTCAACGAAATTGTAGTTATGACTTTTTGCATTAAACCGACTATATATATTGTTATATCGAATAAAGCAAATATACAAATTGTAACTGAAATGTACGATTCTTCTTTTGAATATTTCTATTTAATATAGTTCTAACAACAATCGATAAATGATGATGAATCAAACATTATTGGATAATTGATATTATGTGTTAAAATCACGGATGAAATTATTATCATATCGCGACGATTTTTTTTTCCAAACCCCCAATTCGAATAATCTTATGAAATATATTACGTAGGACATGCGTACATAGATACGTTAGGAGGAAACCTAGGTTCAATGGTCTGTAAGCAGATAACTAATCCTTTACGCTGCTCAGATGTAGAAGAAACAGCGTGAAGCAAGGTTTTCAACACGTTCTTTCACCTAACATGTCAAAGAACTGTATAGTATGTTTTTTCATACAAACATTTAAAAAAATAGATGCAAATCTCATTCAAACACTTTTTTTTATTAATAACTTAAATAGATATGGTTAAATATATATCCCCTCAAAAATATACTCCCAAAATGTACATATATATAAACATTTATAAGTAAAAAAAATATTACTATGTTCTATCAAACTCGAGATAAATGTAAAAAAAAAATAAGTAACATTTTTTTTTCTGTCGGCATTACAGACCATGTAGGTCTTTGTTTATTCTATCTATCCATCTGCTTTTTGGCCTTCCACGTGGTCTTTTGACTTCTATTGAGTTATTCACTGTTACGTACATAGCTTACAGATGGATTACTACGAACTGCATGTCCTTCGTGCCTTTATATCATGGGATATTGATTGACAAGTTTCTGTAAACAGTTCTTTATTGGTCTTTCTTCTCCATGTGTTGATAATCTGATCCCAGATCGCAGAGGAATTCACTCAAATCTTTCAACACTTTATTAGGGCGCTAGTTACTGTCCAGGTCTAACAGCCATATATTAGAACTGGCTTTATTATTTAATTGTACACCCTTAATTTGAGATTTTTCGGGATTTCAATACCTTTGAAAGAGAGAACAAAGCTCTGTTTACGCCTGTTTATATATACGCTGGTCTATTTCTGCCCGTTGGTCATTCATGGAGGTTATTGCGGAGCCAACGTATTTGATTTTTTCTACTCTTGGGAATGATTCTCTTCTTTGCAGATCCTATTATTGGGGTGGAATTTCCCCTCCCTCCCATTTTCCTTAGATGTTCTTATTACTTTCCTCAGGGCTATGATGAACAACATCGGCGATAGCCCATCTCCTTGCCACAACCCCGCTCGAACTATGACGGCTTCAGCTACTTCTCCTTGTATTAGGACTTACATTTGGGGTCATTTGCACACTGGGAACTGCATACTGGGAACTCCTAGTTCTATCATGATTTTCCAAAGACAGCTCCTGTTCACAGAATCATAGGCTGCTAATTAAGTAAAATAAATAACAAATATTTTAATTTAAAAAAAACTGACTGCAAAAATTACTCTTTTCGTCTTAAGGGACGGAAAATGATGTATGTCTACATACAAATATGAGTAGTATATAATTAGTTTGTAAGTCAGTGTCTTATCGAAATTTTGTTAAGTATTCGAGTGTATTAAACACCATAACGAAACTCTAAACTCTTCTGAAAATACACTAATTTACTTTCTGTGTGTTTATACAATATACGATTCCAAACTTTCTAATTATTGATATGCATAGATGAGTAGATCAGAAAAAGTTGTCTCGTGTAAGGCATTTCGACAACTTCACCGTTTCAATATTCATTCATAGAGACTAACTATATCTGATATGTATATCTACATCAAATATAAATGGGTTATTAGCAGAGATGGACAAATGTTACTCTGACTACCGAGTACCAAGTATTATACTCAAATTGGAACACTGTTGGGAATTCAATCACTAGTTCAGTCAATCGTGTGACATCAAATGAAGTAGTAATTAAATTCTTTGGTTTTCAAAAAAGGTCATTATTTGAGTAAAATACTTGGTACTGAGTACTCAGAGTAGCATTTGCCCATCTCTGCTATTAACCCATTTATATTTTTATGTAGATATACATAATTTTCTATCCCTTAAGACGAATAGATTGATTTGTTTAGTGAGTTTTTTTTTATTTTAAATTAAATTATATTAATATTTTTAGTTCTTAAAGTAATAACAATTTATTTTCAAAACATTTGGTCACATGATTTCATTTAAATCAATTAATAATCACGATAATTAACAATAATAAACATTTTTTTTTTCAATATTTTGTGCTCAAATTAATCGAAACATTCACGGTATCTCACTGAGTAATTATAGCCGTCAAAGTTAAACAATGGTCAATCCATCCGCTCAAAATCATTGATACACTAGATAAAAATGTTTGAAAACGCCAATGTGGTACATTTATGTATGAAACAAATATACAAGAAGTTAATTAAAGAATGTATTTAAAATAAACATGACGTTGTATAAAATTAGACGAATAGAAAGAAAATAGATAGTTTATGACTTGAAAACATGAGACTTTTTTCAAATGATTAATTGAATTTTCTAAGGAGTCATTCCCTTTCTTTAAAAAAAAAAACAAAAAAAACTTAAAAAGTGGTTGTTTGAAAAACAAGAAAAATAGCTCCACGTAATTTATTTGAAGAATTTTTCGTTATTCCAAGTTGTCAAATTATAACACCACTTTAAGTGAAATACCAAAGACAATAACTAAAAAACTTAATCAAGCCAGATAACTTACTGTTATTGTGCAACAGGGGTGCCCATCTCCCCCAAGGCCGATGGCGCCCCCTCCTCCCAAGATATTTTATTGCTCACTCTTCTTAAAAATAGAGCAAGCTAAGGTAGAATTAGAAAAATCGTAGATCATATACAATCATACTTCCTGCGGTATGTTCCATGTTTCCCTCTTGTCTCTTAATCCGGTAATTCATAACCCCGTCGAAATTTGCCCCCCTCTAAAATTAAAAAAAAAAAATTAAAATATGGCCTCATCAAAAATTTTGATGGCGCAATTTGCGCCATGAAACTCTTGTTGTTCCAGATAATTCTCAATTTTAATTTGTTTTTTTTAGCAGGTGTGGATGAATAAGCTAATAAAAATTGTTACGATAAATTAAGGAAATCGTATTTTACGAGATATCATGTATGATTACAGAGCAGATCCGGAAAGTTGGAGATAAGCCCCTTCGTGACGCTTTGGACCGATTTGGAGGATGGCCCGTTGTTGTCGGAGCTAACTGGACACCTCCTTCGACTTCCTTGGAGCACTTGTTGGGGATGCTGAGGGGTCTCTACAACGAAGTGGTCATCATCGAACAGTGGGTTGGCCCGGACGACAAGAACTCATCAGCCAACATCGTCCAGGTGGGACAAAGTAAGATTTCATACCTTACTCTGTAATTGCCATTCACAAATATTTTTTATCTTTATAGGGAATTTAAATATCCATTTTTGCGTTTTGGTCATCGTGAAAGATTTAAGTGCCTTCTGAACTGATAATCAATATGTTATATTTTAAGTCAGTTATCTCCTCTTTGTGCAAGGCCATTCCGTTGTACATTCATTTTGATTCAAAGAAGAGCCAGCTATAGTTTTCCTTAAGGATAACCAAAGTATTTTCCTAGAGAAACGGGTGAAGGGAGGGATGAGAAGTAGTACGTTTTGGATTGGTAACTTTCAATGTTGAAGATCTTATCTTTCAGTTAGGGATAGTTAGGATTTTATTTTCGTAGAAGAAGCAAGCTTAATTTTACCACCTTTCTGTCAACCCATTCCTTCCTCTCTCACACTCACTGACGAATCCACGAGAGAAAGGGCTTCATGCAGAAGCTTCTTAAAATGGAATATATATATATTTAATCATATTTGGTTCTGTAAGTGATTTCAGTTAAAAATTCAAACAATCAAAGTATGCACTCTTTAAAACCATAACGTAGGTATTTCACCTTCGAAATGTAAGCACTTCTCAAGAAACAATTTATCCCTAAAAGCATTATTGTTCCTGTAAAGTTTTTTTGTTTTTTTTGACATGCCTTCAAAAGACCACTCAAACATTATTTTATATAGTTTCTTTCTTTTTATTCCAGAGTAATTACCGTGATTAAAAAAAAAAAAACGTTCCCCAAAATTAAATCCTGGATCCGCTACTGCTCACATCCAACAAAGGTTAACAGTTATTACATGTTTAGTAATATATTTGGGGAGAATATAATATCATTAATTTTCTCATTTTATTGATTAAATTCATTTATTTTTAACTTAGAATAAAAATTAAGTTAAGTGTAAAATTAATGATCCACTTTATCCTGCAGTCTCAAACTATTAATTTTACAATAAAGTAATTGTAGACACTAGCGGATCCAGGATTTATTTTTTGGGGGGGGGCTTCAGCCCGAAGGTTTTTTTTTTTTTTTTTTTTTTTTTTTTATAAAAATAACGATAATTACTTAGGGAAAAAAGAAAGAAACTAACTACCGGTATGAAATGGTGTTTTAAGTTATTCCTCAAGCCCTTTTAAATGTAGTTACACGAATAACAATAATTTAAGAGATACTTTTGTAATATTTTTTTCGATAAACCATGGTTATATTTTACCATTTTGGGGGGGGGGGCTTTAGCCCGAAAGCCCCCTCCCCCCCCCCCGTAGATCCGCCCGTGATTGTAGAGGTATGAAGATTATATCTTTGAATATTCTAACCATAATAAAAATAAAATAAAACTATAATATATCTTCAAACAATGTCAGATCAATGTGGGGATGGTTTTTTTGGCTAAATCCTACCTCGATCTCTCCCAAAAACGATTTTTTTTTTCATTGGTTCATATTTGTTACTGTGAGTGATCTAAGCCACGGGCGGATCTACGGGGGGGAGGGGGGGGCTTTCGGGCTGAAGCCCCCCCCAAACTCGAAAAATTTAACCATGTTTTATGGGAAAAAAAATTTAAAAATTACCTCTTAAAGTATTATTGTTCGTGTAATACTATTTAAAAGTACTTAAGGAATAACTTAAACACCATTTCATATAGGTAGTTAGTTTCTTTCTTTTTTTCCAAAGTAATTATCGTTATTTTTATGAAAAAAAAAGGTTTCGGGCTGAAGCCCCCCCAAAATTAAATCCTAGATCCGCTAGTGATCTAAGCTAAACGGGCGGGGTGGCAGAATGAGCTAACGCGTGTGCACAGCATCCGGAGTTGCCCGACAACCAGATATCTAAAGTTATATTAGATTAAAGGGAACGAGCATACGAGTTCGCGAACCAGTGCTAGAAGGGAATTTAGAAATTACAGTCCCACAGCCCCCGGCCCGGGAGAACTTCGTGTAGTCTATCAGGCGAGATAGGGTTGAACAAAAAAAAAAAAGTATATATATATCTAAGCTAAATAAGAATACCAATATGGTTTCAAATAACAATACAAACAAAATGACTAAAAATAACCATATCTTATGAACAAATTATCTATAAAAGTATTATTGTTCGTGTAAATAAATTTTGAATAGGACTTAAAGAGTAATTTACCATTTCATATAGGCAACTTGTTTATGTATTTTTCTTCCCAAGTAGTTATCGTTATACATATGAAAAAAAAGCATTCATCCTGAAAAGTCTCTCAAAATTTAATTCTAGATTCATTATTACCTTCAAATACACAAAAAAAGAAAACATATTCGGTTGGTAAAAAAGACCTTTCGGTTTTTCAGGGTGAAATAAAACTCAATGTATCAAAGACATAAAATTTATTTAAACCTATAGTATATTGATCATTATTTAATATAACTTTTCCCCATCTTTCCACAAACTGTATAATGTCATGTTCATAGAATGTCTGGAGTTTATTGTTAAAAAACTGATCCAAGTGGTTTTTGATGTCCTCTTCCTTTTGAAATTTCTTTCTATTCATGGTTTCCTGCAGAGACTGGAATAAGTGGTAGTCACATGGAGCTAGATCTAGTAAATAGGGGCAAAAGGTCCCATCCAAGGCTCAATAATTTATTGGGAGTGACCGATGAGGTGTAGGGTCTATCATTATCTTGGTAGAACACAACACCCTTCCACTCATTCATAACTCTTCAGGATGTTCTCCGAATTCGACATTACTATATCGATTGGAAAGCTGAATTATTGCTTTTCAAGGCCGTATGAATAGTTTTTTTTATTTAATGACTACATAAGGAATAAATAAACCAAAACTTGTTATAGGTCTTAATTTTTTATCTCCATTTGTAGTTGGTTTACCCAGGTGTGAGACCTAGCGTTCTCTTGGTAGAATACAACATCCTCCCAATTTGCTAGTTTGGGGAGTTTATTTTTAATTGATTAATTCAATTTTGTTAATTATGAGCAGTATAGAGTTGAATCAATATTTGTCCAGATGGCCATAGCTCATAGAAAAGAACACCCTTGAAATCCGACCATATGAAAACCATTATCTTCTTTGGATGCAATCAGGGTTTTGACATTCGCTCAGGAGTTCCCATGATTTTCTATGGACTACATTATCATAAAATATCCATTTTTCATCTGCTGTTACCAACCTTTTCAAAAATGGATCGTTTTGTTACCATTTCCATAATGAATAACAAACAGAAATGCATGTAGCCAAGTTTACTTCGGTTAGAGAGTGAGAGACCCAAGCGCTAAGCCTGGAAACATAGTCGAGCTAGTACAAATGGTTTTCTATGTTTGTGCGGCATATTTAGGACCATAACAATCTTTCAAAATGATTGGGTGGGATTTTGATCAACAATGGCTTTGACATTGCTCATTTTAATTTCATGTGGGCGATCAGACAGTTGAGCATAATTGATGTCAAAATTTCCTGAATGAAATTTGGCAAACCAATTTTGACAGGTGCATTTGGTTAAGGCAACATCTCCATAAACACTGCAAATTTTTCTATGAGCTTCTGCAGCACACTTACCTTCTTCAAAATAATACAACAAAATATGCCGATGATGAATGATATTTTCTTCCATATTCACAGTGCAATAGCAAACACAATACTAAGCTAGTTTCAACAAGAATTAACAAATATAGTTGTTGACATATTACAAACAAGATAAACAAACCACCTTAAGGATCAATTCATTAGATAAGATGTGTATCATAGTAGCATAAACATAAACAGAAAAATCGAAAGGACTTATTTGCCAACCCAATAATATTTTTACATTATTCCAAATGGTTGACCGTAGTATGATATTGAGGAAAGTGACAGTCAGGAGTGGTGGTCATAAAAAACAAAAATTAAAAAATTGACATTATTTTAAGTTTTTTTTTTATCACTGGCACCCCAGATCATCCCTTTCCTCAATAATATTTTTATCATATTCAATCAGAATAATAATTTCTTCCAAATTATTATTATTATTGAATGTATTTAAGTATTTTAAGATAGATAAACTACATCTACAATTAATAATAACATGTGGACAGGTGTCCTAATTTCTTATTTTTCTTGACTATAGTTTTATTGGTAAATTTTTTGGTTAATTTTTCGTAATATTGCTATTGATTATGTAACATTGATGAATTTTTTAATTCTCCATCACATAAATCTTTTACATAAACTTCATAGAATATATTGTTTTTAATTAAATGTTAATATTAAAATTTGCAATCCAGAGAATAAAAAAAGGCGAAACTTTAATTTTATCTTAAATTTATTTAATTTCCTCTAATCAAATAGTGATAAGATTGAGGTTAATTATTGCTATTTTTTTTATCTATTTATTATTTGTATTGTTACATTATTGCTAAATAAACATTTTCATATAATATTTTTGTTTTCAGTATTAATCATTAAAAATAAATAAATCTGTCTAGCTTGATCAAATGAATTTGGGTCTTCCATCTCGAGACTATTACTTAAAGCCAAGTTCTGAAGCAGATTATCTGGCAGCTTATCACAAATATATGACTGAAGTTGCCATATTATTAGGAGCCGACCCAGCCACAGCAGCTATGGAACTGATGGAAGTTATACAGTTTGAGAAAAAATTAGCAAATGTAATGAACATTTTATATTATTTAAACAAAGTTTAAAAAAAATAAATTTAGGTCAAGGTATACACTGTTCTTGATTTTGATTTTTTAATTTATATTTAAACAACTTAAAGTACTAGTAATGTAAACAACATATAGAAGTCTTCCTATAATAAAACCACTATTAAATAAACTATCACTATTGATTTTGAAGTATTTTACTTCATATAGAAAATAAAGTGCCTTCTTCTTCTTTCGTCTATATGGCTATGCCTGTAGATTGGGACCATATCTGCCACACTGTATCCTCCAACCAGTGGCCGTTACGCTGAATATGCTCTGAAGTTTGTACATTTTGGCCACAGTCACATGGGGGACTGGACCCTATCTTCAATTTCTGAAAGAGGTGTGATTTCAGGCAATTATGATGTCTTGAGGCAAAAAACGGCTACTTACTTTCTTTGGATTTGCTAAAATAATCGCCATGGGGACTGTGATTGGGGTGATTTGTTTTCCACCTCTGGCTTACAACAACTTTATTAATAGTTTTACAATCCTCCAACCTATGGATGCTGCTAATTTGGGAGAGCAATGTTCCTTCTTTAGCCAATCAGGCTGCAATTTCATTCCCCGCTAGTCCAGATTGTCCTCGAATCCATAGTAGAATGACTGTGCTCTGAGATCTTTCATCTCCTCAGCTAGTCTGCTCTTCTATTTATTTTTGAGGCATTCAATAATGAATGCTGCATCTGTCAGGAATACAATGCATAAGAGTAGGCAGCTCTTAATATTCTTTAGGATCTTGGCTGCAGCCAAAATTAAGTCATGCTCAGTTTGTTGAGACGAGTCTAGTGGAGAGTGCTTTTTGGAGAACATTGGAGAATTCAATATGGATGCTCCGTCCTCCGTTGGCAATGGCATTTTTAGCAGACCTATCTGTATATACCCTCATCCATTTATTTTTAGAATATGCTGGATTAATGCACTCTATTGTGCAGGCTTTGGCTTCCAGGGTATCTAGGTCACTTTTTTTTGTTATTTCTGCGATATTTGCATTGATTTATGGTCTGATCCATTGTGTCCAAGGTGAGACATTAACAACAAGCTTCACAGTATCTGCTTTAGTATTTGAGATGCTTATGGATTAATTTATTTGTTTTATGTAGAGGACTTTCAGGCTTTATCTGTGCGTGGTTTTTCTTTCCAACTCTTTCTTTAAGGAGGTTGTTAGGAATACAGCCTGCTTTCATTCTTAAATTAAGAAGTTTGATGTCTCTGCTGTTTTCCATTTTTTGTAAGCCTATAAGTGTTTCCATTACCTTAATCAGTATGGACTTCTGACCTTCAGTTATAATTCTAAGACCTTGGTTCTGGACAACTGTGATTTTTCGAAAGTTTAAGAATCCATCTTTATTTCCTGTGCTATATGGACAACTTGGTCTTCTGTAGATCTGATCAATATCACAGACAGTTTTTAGAATAAAATGAGAAGTCTAAATCAAGAATGGTGTGGGACTTCAACATACTTATATGAAAACTTTTTTATTTTTAAATATTAGTGATTCATTTCTAAGATAATTTAACTAATTATAAACATAATTGATTAGGCATCGCTTCCTCAAGCTGATCGTCATGATACAAGTTCAATTTACAGGAAAATGACAATAAAACATTTGAAAAGTCTTGTACCACAAATAGATTGGCTAGAATATCTAAACACATTCCTCAGCTCTCCCGTTGAAGAAACTGAAACTGTTGTGGCTTATGCAATGCCTTACTTTGTGCAGATGGGAAAAATAATATCAGAAAGCAATATAAAGTAATCAAATGTTTAATTAATCTATTAAACTTTGATATATTAATTTTAGACTTTAATAAATTTGTAAAATATAATTTATCGCTTTCAGAGTTATATACAACTATGTCCTATGGAGATTGGTAATGACTGTTTCTCCACACATGATAGATGATTATCAGGCGAAACACACTGAATTTCGCAGAATTCTCCAGGGCATTCAGTCTGAAAGAAACAGATGGAGTCAATGTGTTGACTGGACTAATAAAAAAATGGGAATGGCAGTAGGAGCACTATATATTAAAAGAAATTTCAATCAGAATAGTAAGGTATAAATAAATGGGATGGCTCACATTTTTACTTTTTAAATATATCATAATATATGTTATAAATAAATATTATAATAATATTTATAAATATATTATGAATAATCTCATTTTTAAAGATTTATATCAATAAGAAGTTGGAGTGATATTTTTTCTAACTATATATCATGCGACAATTTAACACTTATAGCACAATGTTTTGATAGATCGAATTATATCTTCATTTGATTCTTCATAATTTCAAGGCTTCAATTTAAATAAATTGGGCATTTTATATTATATTTAGGGAATTAAAAAAAATTATGTTCTCAAACTAAAATAAATTTTATCATTCTGAAAGTACAGAACAAAACTCAATTTACAGTTAATCCATAAAAACTACCATGAAGAAACATTTCATATTGATTCAAACATAAATAACTTTTAATTTTTTATATTGTATTTATATTTTAAAATCTTCATGTGAATGAACTTCGCCTAAAAATGGCATAAATAAATTATATGTACTTCTTAATGTTTAGCATATTAATTTGGAAGTTATTAAGGATGTCCTTCAAGTGTGTAAATATTTTGAATAATTTTGGATTGATTATTACCATTATATATTCAATATTATTACTTTATTATTATTACATTTTCAAAATTATTTTTAGGAAACAGCTCTTGAAATGATTCACACTATCAGAGAAGCTTTCAATGAGCTGTTAGAGGAAAATCATTGGATGGATAATGAAACAAGAGCAGTAGCAAAAGAAAAAGCGAATGCTATGAATGAGAGAATTGGATATCCTGAACTTCTCACAAATCCAGAAGAACTGAACAAAGAATATGTCATGGTGAGTCTGGGTTGACAAATTTAAATAATTTTGTCATTATTCTATATAAAAAATCTGTCACTTGTCTTCAGGAATTCTTTTTCTTTTTGATAAGATGCTAACTAACAATTAAGAACTTTTAATTACATAGAGAATTTAAAAACTATTGAGAAATCTACATCTATTTTATTTACATTTAATTAATATTATTTGTAATTCCAGAAAAAAATATTTGATTATATATTATTTTCTTATTTTTATCGAAATAAGTTATTTTAAAATTATTGTTACTTAAAAGTTGATATTGAAATTATCAATGGTTTATATTTTTAAAAAGTTTTAGTTGTTCATTCTATTAATTTGTAATTTTTCAGCATTCTTATTTAATAATCTTAGCCAATTATTCAAAATCAGCTAATTTTTTAGTTCAACTTCTGATCTTTAAAATTCACAAAGTATGGTTGTTAGATAAAAATTCAACAAAAGAGATTCTAAATATTTTTTTTTTAACCCACTACAAGTTTCATCAACATTTTTCATTTTTCTTTTATTAACATTAGATTTGTGTGGATAAAAATAAATATCATTGAAGGGCAATCCTTTTAAACAAATACAGTGGAGAGTAAATTGTATTTCCTTGAATAGAATGAAATATTCTAAAAAAGTTGATTTTTTAGTTATTAATTAGGTGTTGATAGACTAAAGAGTTCATTTAGAATCTTTCAACTTATAATCTTATTATGATTTTTCCTGTTTTTTTTTTTTGCTCTCATTGTTCTTATAAGATAATTTTATGTTACAGCTTAACATTACAGAAGACCAGTTCCTCGAAAACGTATTTAATATTTTTCATTATGACGCTCTGCACAACCTCCAACAATTAGGTCAACCTGTGAATAAAGACAAGTGGTCCACTGAACCAGCAATAGTCAATGCTTTTTATAATCCAAATAAAAACGATATTGGTAAGAAAAATAAATCTAGTTTTATTATATTTTTTAAAATGTTTCTTTAAAAGTTTAAACCAGTAATTAATTGTTTTTCTTTGTAGTGTTCCCAGCTGGTATACTTCAACCTCTGTTTTACAGTCAACATTTTCCCAAATCTTTAAACTACGGTGGTATAGGAGTAGTGATTGGTCATGAAATAACTCATGGATTTGATGATAAAGGTATCATTATCAACCTCATATTTAGGGGGATCTTTATTGAATTATTACATTTAATTATAATAGATAAAGGTTTAAAAAAGACCAAAATATTTCCACACATACATTTTAACCAGAAAAATTTGTCCTTTCTTAATGCATATGTATTGCTTTTATTAGCCATTTTCAAAAAACCTAAAATAAAACAACAGTTAAAAACACCTTTAAAAACTATCTAATATACTACTCATTAGTACTATTTGTCAATGATATTAGTTTGTTTAAAGTTCTTATTATGAATTTAGTTGTTTTTATTTTTCTAGTATTCCAATATTCCATAGCCGTTTACTTAAAAATAACTCACAAAAAATTCAATAAACCACATAAGCAATAATTATATATAATTTCATAATATTGCAGGTGATAAACTGGTTTCTGAGCTACTCCCTTTATATATACCATTCTATCCCCTCTTTACCTCCATTGATCACTGTTGTCATGTTACATAGATCAGAGTCCCATTATTTCTTAAGTGCCTGCGCCTATGCATCTTCTTTTTGTTAAAAAAATTTTCATTGTTGAAATAAATTTGTGGGAATATTGTAGTACTTTTAATCTACTATTTATTAAATGTAATAAATAAAGTTCAATCATTTACACCATTCTCTTTTCAACCATTGATTTTAACCTCATTCTAGGCCGACAGTTTGACAAAGATGGAAATATGATGCAGTGGTGGAACAATGCTACAATCCGTGAGTTTCGTGATAGAGCGCAATGCTTCATAGATCAGTACAACAGATACAAATTAGAACAAGTTGATCAATTTGTGAATGGAAGAATGACCCAAGGTGAAAACATTGCTGACAACGGTGGCCTTAAACAGTCTTATAGGGTGAGTTATGGTCAATTAGGTTAACTACCATATGTTATATATTATTGTATCTCATGCATTATTTTTTTATTTAATGTATTAAAAAATATACTTTTTTTTATTTTCTTGTAAGACCTTGTAGATCTTCTGCCACTTTAAGCAGCCTTCTTGTGTAGAGGTTTTCTGATGAATTCCTTCAAGCTCTATGTCCACCTATCTTATCTTCCTTGCCTTCATATCATAAGATACTGATTTACTGATGTCTGTAACCAGTTCTTTTCCTCCTTGTGCTGGTACATTGATACCGATTGTTCCAGTGATTGTATGAAGAATTTTCCTTTCAAATCTTTCAATACTTCTTTCTAAGTTGCTAATTCTGGTTCAGGTCTTCTTGAAGCTCTTTATCACAGCATTTTGACCCTTAATTTGAGATTTCAAGAGTTTATTGGGATTTCAATACATTCTATAATTTGAACTTGAAAAGAAAACTGGTCTGTTTCTAATAGTTGGTCATTTATTGATGTTATTGTACACAAATCCTGTGATTGAGAAGGACTTTTCGACTTTATTTTTTTATCCTCATTTACATGTAGATCAATTCACACTACTTCTTGTATCAGAGACTTATAGTCTTTCAATGTCATCTGAGGACAAATATGTCATCTGAATATGTGAGGATTTTATCATTCATTCTGATGTGCATCTCTCCATTTTCATGTGAAGTTGTTCTTATATAATCTTCTATTCTAATCCTCCATAATTTTATTTCAACTAATACTATAGAGTGTTCCAAAATTAACGTAAGATTTAAATTAAATACAAAACACAGTCCTTTCTTCTTTAGTTTTCTTTTTCTTTGTCAATTTAACAGCTGGTAATTTAGGGTTTATAAAAATGGAGAGTTATACAAGTGAACAATGTGTTTTCATTGCTGAAAAATATTTTAAAAATAATGAAAATCTCACGAGAACAAAAAATATGTTCAGAATAAAGTGTCAATATCGAAACAATACAAGTGGCTGCAAGACTTTCATTATTTTAAAAATTATTTTCAACAATGAAAACACATTGATCGCTCATAGAACAATCCATTTTTTATTAACCCTAAGCTATTAGCTGTTAAATTGACAAAGAAAAAGGAAACTAAAGAAGAAAGAACTGTGTTTTGTATTAAATTTTGGAACACTCTATATGTATATTAGTTGAAATAAAATTATGGAGGATTAGAATGGAAGACTATATATAATATTTATAATAAATATAATTATATTATAATTAAATAGACGAGAAAAAATAAGAAATATTTTTTCCAGGTCAAAATTTTTTTCTGTAAATAAGAGTATTATAATTGTAGAAAAGCTAAATATTTTAATTGTTCTTTTTGCAGCGAAGCTGTATGATATTCTCTGTTTTTGGCAATGATAATTTCCAAATATACAACAATTAATTTATTACATGTTAACGTTTCGGGAAATTTACTCCCATCTTTATTACTTAACATATTACCATATTTTCTTATGTGAAAAGGTTATTAGTAATGACTAATAATTGTTGCAGTTGGTATTGTCTATTCCTATATTATTGAATGGAAAATAAATGTTTTCATGGAACATAAACGGATACGTTTAAAATTTATTTTCAGCTTCATAAACCAAAATTATATAGTGAATAGCACAGTTATTCTTTATATTATTGTTTGTATGTTTATATTTCTTTAGTTTAAATAATTTTTTTTATGTTAATATCTATTAAATATAGGGTGGTAAATGAAATAGTCTTATATATTACAGCAGATTTTTGTTTGTTGTGTCATAGTACTTTTTGTTTGAGGTGTAATAATATGTACTTTTAATCCAAATCAATAATATTTATATAACAATCTAAATTTACTTTAATATCACAATTTTGAGAAATAACTTTAATACAAAATTTATAATATGTTTTTCAGGCTTATAAAAAATGGGTTACTCAAAATGGTGAAGAACCAAGACTTCCTGGAATAAACCTGACTCATGATCAACTATTCTTTCTTAATTATGCCCAAATCTGGTGCGGCACAATGAGACCAGAGGATGCCCTCACCAAAATAAGATCTGCAGTTCATTCACCGGGTCCTATTAGAGTAATAGGTCCATTGTCAAATTCCAAAGACTTTTCTAGAGCCTACAGTTGTCCATTAGGTTCCCCAATGAACCCGACAAGTAAATGCTCTGTTTGGTGAAAAGTTAAAAGAACATGAGCCGATTTTCTGCTTAACCTTCCTTGGAAAGGTTGCTTGCCTTTTGGTCAGCTGGTCTCTGACATTATCATCTAACAGCTGTTGGTTTAAAATATTTAAACTTATACTTGTAATTGATTTACATAATTTTGTATTTTCGAAAGATCGTTACTATCATTTGTTAAAGCGATCGAAGAAAAGTTTAAAGAATTGATCTTTGCCATTCTGCAAAGCCATTCTTCACCATTTTATTATATTCATTCCGCTTCTAGATTTTTGAATAATTATTTTTAATTAGGTATCATTGTAGATCGCGGTCTACTAAGTCAGAGACCAAAAACTATGCTAAGAGTGCATAAAATATTATCATAATTGGATAATCTAAAGTATAGAAACATTAAATATAAAGAGTAAGTATTTATTTTATTACGTTAACAAAAATAAGTTACCATAATTACCTGCAAACTTATTTTTTTTAGCTGTTATTAAATCCTAATGTACCTGAAAAGACTGTGAAATAAATTAATGTAGGTACAATTTAAATAATTGAATGAAATATTCTATGTAATTTTGATCTGAAAATTTCTCTTTATATAATATTCAAGTCAGTATTATGTGTTTATTTTATTTTTGTTATTATTTAAGGTTGGATAATACTACTGTTAAGAAAACTACCCTTAACCAGTCACATTTAAGAAACTTTTACTTTAAAAGATACTTGCTTTTCATTACTAATTCAAGTTGGAAAATATTTTCTGTTGGTAAAAATATTTGAATTTAATGATATTTATAAAATAATTTATAGTTTTATATATAAATGATGTACCCACTTAGAATTAGAAAATATTAAAAATAAAGAATTAAAGTTAAATTTATCAGTTTTGTACATAGGCAATTCTTATTTTATTTGAATAAGGGAGGATACAAATATTGTCAGGACATGGATAACATAATATATATTTTAGAATAGTTACTTTGCCTTATATCTTTTGTTTCCAGATCATTTTTTAAAAATTAAAGCAACATTATAAAGATATTTAATGGACAAATCGTAAGGAAATTTAAAAATTAGTTCAATTCAGAGAATATTTTAACTAGGTATCAGCCAATCATTGTGTTAATTAAACAATATTATTATTTGAAAGTGTTATCAATATTTAGACAAATCATTGATAAAAAAATTATCTGGATTTCTTTTATTACAGTCAACGTTATTCAACATTTTTAAAAACTAGTTTAGTGTTTCCAATTTATTTTATTATGGATTAAAAATTACTTATAACTATTAAAGTATTAGATAATTAATGTAACTAAATGGTTGAAAGAGAAATTAGTTAAAAAATAATTGAAGAAATGGATAATTATATATGTAATAAAATTTCATGCTTCAGTATATGGAATGTGAGATGCACCCCATCATCCAAAGTGATTTAAAAAAATCAATATATATTTTTTTTTCGTTATTACAAGGCCTATTTATATTTATTTTAAACTTGCAGTAAACATAAATGATGATCAAAGCACAGTTTTTGCAAACTAAATTTAACTTTATCAATTATTAAAACTTTATTGGGAACTTTAATTTTTGTACGAAATTATTTTAATCAAAATAAGTACTTATGAAAAAAAAAAAACCTTAAAAAAACAGTAACAGTACCGATTCTTTGTATTGAAAGGAAAGTATTAAGACATTTTACTGAAGATATAATTATTAAATTAATGAAATAGGATCTCTCAAATAACTCCAATGAATTGGAGGGTTCATAATTTATTAAGACTCATCAATCTTGTTGACCTAATATCAACAATTTATTACTTACCTAAACCCATTTTCGATATTTGATACAATTGTTTTCACTTCTGGTAAATGAAACACAAATTATTATGAATTTATTGTTTTTCTTTGTCAGTTGTGATTTCTGTTTTGTATGTTTTTACTTTTATAAGATTGTAACTAAGAACAAGTAAAAGGATTTAATTAGAATAAAAGCTCATTATTATCTTTTAGAAATTTTTAAACTTTTATATGTTATAAATCCATTAAGGATTTTAATTTTATGAGTGACAGCAGTTCAAGTATAAATTTGTAAAAACTATAGGTTATTTGCACTTATGTATAAAATAAGATTAATTTATTATTATTTCCTAGTATGCTGATGTATTTAAGCAACAGCATTCTATAATTTGTTAATACTTAATTATTAATATTTCTATATAATGAAACACAAACTTGTGATGCTGATGGTTATTGTATTTAATAAACACTTGAGAATGGAGCATTTGTGTTTAACTTTAAGAATCCTTTAGTTTATATAAGAATGTGTTAACTTTTTTTATGATAAGGAATTGTGTAGGTTTTAAAATTATGACATATCCTAAACCTAATTGTATCAGAAATTATATTTCTAAAATAATTTATAGTACATCATAGAAATTTAATGTTTTCATGAATCATTAAGCTTTAAACTAATAACGCAACAATAATGCTATTATAATGCTTGTTTAGTTAGCATGAACATGTAAGCTATATAGATAACACTAAAACATTTCAGCCTTCATTAGATAAACAAACTTTATTTGTCAATCATTTTTATGGTTTATTTTTTATTCATGAGTTTTGATTGTAATGTGACACAAGCACAATTTTTTTTTTTTAATTGTAGTTTGTAAACAATTCTTCTTACATTCAATATTTAAGCCAGATGAATAAAGAATAAATTAAAAATAAATAAATAAAAATAAAATGATTGGTAGCATAACATATGAAGCATCTAGATGGAAACGGATGTAAGTGGAAAAATATTAATTTTGAGATATTAACTTTAAATTACCTAATTGTCCATAAATCTTTGTAAATTGTGTATTTTGAAAAATACAGCCAAATTGGATTGCAAATGTGCTTTTAAATAAAATAAAATTAAGGAAAAACTGCTATTATTCATCCATGTTGTAATGATATTCAGCACTCTCTAAGCCGAATCCTCTCAGATGTTCTTTGACAATCTTCCATAAAACTATAATTATAATAAAAAGTATTATAAGATATATTTTTAACTTTATAGTTTTATTAATTTTTTTTGAAAAAGTCGCCTTTGTAGCATTTTTATACAAGTTATTAATTATTGTAGTAAAAGTAGGTATAACCATATCAAAGTACAGAAAGTTGTCATGTCTTTGGTTAAATGAATATTTTAAAAAAATTCTCACTTGCACATTTTCACCAACAACTAAATATGATTATCCCTTATTATCTCAACACAAGTCAATTTTTTTAATTTACACTTACACCTTTTAGCATCTAGGTTCTTCATTTGTTGAAATGATAACTAATTTCTACGCAGGGTAGTAAACTAGAGTAGCATTCTTACTCCAAAAAAAGAAAAAAAAAAAGAAAAAATGAAATGAAATGTTATTCATAATTAAGCTTATTTTCATATTTGTGAGAATGTTTGTTATTTAGAAAACAAATATAATATATCAAGTATTAAAATATAAATATGTTCAATGTCTTATTTATTTAAAAATTTAACAAAATGGTTTATGAAATTTTGTTTCTTTCATTTTACCCTGTCAATGGTATATAAGAAATGTAATTCTGAATGATGTTTAAATTAAAAAAAATAAATAAATAATAAAAACAATTTCATTATTAAATAATACATGACTGAGTTTAAACATCTGAAATGGATTTTAGAAAATATTTATAGTTGTTATGAAGTAAAAACATATAAAAAAGTCTATTTCCATACCATCAAAATGAATTAAGTATTTTTTATTATTATATGTATTTCATGTTTCTTTTTGATGTATGCGAAGCACAATCTGAGATTTGACAAAGAATAAAAATTAAATGACAATGTAAATTTTCATTTGGAACCCCCAACAGAACACTTAATCAAAACAAACTGTAAAAAAAAAAAAAAATTAGGATAAGTACATAAAGGATTCAAACTTGATCAAAAATTATTTCATAATGTAATATATTAAAAAATATTTATAATAATACAATTTTTATTAGTAGTAGGTAACTTCATTAAGAAGATAATTAATGATTCTGTATATAAAGGAAAATAAATTTTTTAAAGAATAGTAATATTGACTATTTTGAAGGTTATTTTAGAAGTTTTTTTTTTCTTTTGGCTTAATAGACCTTGTACATCTTTTGTCACCTTAAACAGCCTTTTCCATCTCTTTGTATCTTGGAATATTGCTTCCTAGTCATCTGCATGCAGTTCTTAAGCATCTTTGTTGATTCAATCTATACATCTGATTTTTACCTCATAGACATTCATTGTTGTATAGAAGTTTCCTGTTGGGCTGTTCTGAAATGTATTCTGTGCCCATCTCAATATACTTACTTTCAAATAATGGGATATTGATTAATGAGTTTGTGAAACCAGTTCTTCATTTGTACTTCTCCTCCAAGTGTTACTAAACTAATTCCAGATTTTTTGGGATTTCAATATTATTGAAAGAGAGAACATAAATCTGTTGTTTTATGCTACTTTGTTTCTGACTGTTGGTTATTCATTGATATTATTTTAGAGTCAAGGTATATTTGAATTAGTCTTCTCTTGGTTTCTCTTCTACACAGATCCTGGTGGAATGTTATTTTTGGCTTAATATCATATATTTTGTTTTATCATAATTTTTGTGAAGGCTGATTTGCTCTGATTCTCTTATCAGATCTTGATACACATCTTGAACTACTTCCCATCATATTTTGAACACTTGTTTTAGAATGAAGATCTGGTATAGCCTGTTCCTTTCTCTTCTGAATACAGGTTGATGGCTGCCTATAATATTTTCATTATAGTGATATATGCAGTTTAACAGAATATTGGTAATTATTTTGTAGGCAACAGGGAGAAGTGTTATGCACTCTTATTTGGAGCCCTTTTTTAGGATAGGGCAGATAAGGCCTGCTTTATACTTCACTGCTTACTGCTTTATACTCCACGTCTTTGTTATACTTTCCTCCTCTCATTTGCATACTTATTTTCATGATTAGTTGAAGCAGCTAAGTTTTTTGGTATTACAAGATGCCTGGATTGCGACCTCCCCAAAAGACTCCTCAAGAATTCCTAAGAAGACCATTCTACCCCAGCAACTTCTTGACCTAATCTACACCAAACACAGTACCAGATTATTAAGACAACGTACTATTGACCGCAGCTACTATAATTATTACAGCAAAAAGTTAAAACTGGAATTAGCCACCTTCAGGTCACAATCCTTAAACTGCTACCTATTCTCTTTGGACAATTCTCTTTGGAAAACTACAATGAAAATCCTTGGTACCACTTAAGCCTTGATTTAACAATGTTATTAACAACTTTAACCAAACAGGAAATTAGGGATATATATATATATATATATATATATATATATATATATATATATATGCCATCCTTATACATACAATCAGATAACTACCCAGTTCTTTATTTTGTAACAAGGTTTCATTTTTCTATATACATCATTTATATATATATATATATATATATATATATATATATATATATATATATATATATATATATATATATATATATATATATAATATTTTATATATATATAATATAGTTTATATATATATATATATATATATATATATATATATATATATAAACTTATTGTACATATATATAATAAAAAACTTATTGTATATATATATATATATATATATATATATACATATAAATGATGTATGAAAGAGATTCTTTTGAGTATGGAAAAGATTTCCAGTCACTTTTCACTGAGAATTGTTTTTTTTCTATTGATAAGATATTAAGTCTTTGAGATTTAATTGTTTACTAATATTGAAGGCAATCCTCTATATGTACATTATCTTTTTTTTTTTTGTTTTCTCCTATCAATATATATTTCATACAATATCTTCGATATTGATTACATAAGACTTTTCTAATGTTTACAATGCTGCGGAGGCAGCGGGCATCCAAGTGCGAACAACCAATTCTGCTGCTACTTAATCCGTAAGCACTGTTTGTTTCCTTATTAATTAATTAATTTTAAAATGTTAAAATACTGAAATCCATTGAGGATAAATATGTATCAATGAAATGGCGGATATCAGAAAACCCATATATATTGAAAATAACAAAAAAAATGAAATTATTATTCCTTAATAATAATTAATTCAATTCGAATCCCAAACTTAATGAAATAGTACAAAAAAAATCACATAAATGTGTACAACTTTCAAATCAATAATGCTATGCAATAAAAAGGAAAAATAAGAATAATGGTGGAAAATGGTATTGAACCAGTAAAGTTTTTAAATAGAGGCTCAGATGCTAACCACTAAACTACAAGTGCTCTTAAAACATCAACAACATGAATTAGTATTCAAGTTCAAGTCAGCCTCAAAAAGAGGTTCTAAAATTTAAGAAAATTATATTTTTTATTCTTGGTTATTGAAACTGGACACCCGAGGGATCGTTAAATGTTTTTAAAGGGGCACAACTCACTTTAAAATGTTCTAAATTAAAAATAATACAGTCGGCCGGTCATATTAAATGTCACTGGTGCAGCTGACGGGAGTCCACTTGCAGTATGATGATGTCCCCGATCTCAGGAAAGTCGCCGTTACAACCTGGTGAAATGAAATCATGGGTTTTCCAAACATAATTGTGACGGATGAGAGAACCTCATGGAAGTAGTTATATTCTCATTGCTTCCAGCTGCCATACTGATTCAGCAATGTTTTCGTTTGCTGCTCACTGGTATTAGATGCACGATCTTTGCCGGAAGTGGCCGAACATCGTCACTGGGACGTATCGTAGTGTATGAAATATTTAAGGGCTTTTACGTATAATGTTTAATGATGTAATTATACAAATAAAAAAAAGTGTTAGACATATAATGACATGAAAACAAAACTGAATAAAATACATAATTTATGTTATTCATAATCAAAATAAAACTGACCCCTATGTTATGACATGGTCACAAAATAATATAAATTTGATCATGTTGGAGTCAACAAATACTATTATAATTATTCATTTGAACATATTAAGGTATAGATGTAAATCATTCATTGTAAATATTTATCTATTTTTTTAATATTATTTTTTTCATTACTACAATGGTTCAATGGTTCTTCTCGTTTGTGATAAAATGTTTGATATGTAGTAGAGGCATATCTCTCTCGCTCACGCTAGATGCCAATACATATTCAGAAGCGAGCTGTAAAAATAGAGGATGTGTCTCGAGAAACTCGTGGTGCCATTCTGGTCCCGGTATGTTATTTTTATTTTTGATCACACCTATCTTTTTTTTTTTTTTTTGTATCATTACCTCTATCAACATTAAAGTCAATCTTACGCCTTAGAAATTCTTTTCTCGCACATTCCAGGATCCATTTCACCAGCGTTTCTTCTTCTTTTTGTGTCAAGATTGTATCAGTACAACATTTCATTCTTCCTGTCCTCCTAATTTCCTAATTAGTGTTGCTCTAAGAATCTGACACTTGAGTGCGACTGATTTCACTGACACGTTTGATGAATTCTATTGCCATAGCGACTTGCTCTTCATAGTATGTATTTCAGTTACGTGGCATGATTTCTAAAAAAAAATAATAATAGAAAAAAATTATGTAAAACACATTTATTTTTAAAAATTATAGTACATTAACTCACTGAATAATTAACTATATTCATTACAAACAATATATCACAGCTTTTGTAATTTATTTATTTTTTTAAAAATTTGTTTATTACTTTAGAGGTGTGTTACTAGTTATGTCATACCTGTTTCTAATTTGGGAACCCCTTACCATAACTGGTAATCATTAACAAATTTAACTTTGGATTATACTAAAATATTTAGGCATAAAAATGCAATATTTCTAATTAAAACCTGAGAATAAAAATTACAATTACTTATAGATAGGGTTTTCGTAACTAGTTGTACCATTTTTTCCTAAACTAGTAATGAACACATTAATTTAAATTTAATAAAAAACGTGTAAACAAAAATAATTAACTAAGAATACTTTATAAAAACTACATAGAATGTGTAAAAACCTTCAAAGTTGTAAAATAATTTATCTGTCTAGAACAATACTCTTAAGAAACTAATTTCATGAAAAGACTAAAAAAAAAATGGTATTTTTCCAACAATTATGTTGACTTGGAAAAAACTTTTTACTATCCTCAGTTGTAGACAAGAAATAGAGAAGGGAGAGAAAGGGTGTTGGTTGGGGTTACAATGGGGCACAATAATCTACAAAACTCTTCTGTTTCAAGTTTACCTGGTTCTTATTGTTGGCCATTGTTCTTATTGTTAATTCTTATTGGCAATTCTCATATTGTTCATAACTGGTAAAGTGTCCGTAACTAGTCATTTACACACTAGATGGAAGTATTTCATATTAACGGGTTAAGAGAAAAAGATACATTTTAATTATATATACTAACAACATATATAAATAGAAATAGAAAGTGCATTTGATTTTTCGAAATAGTATTTACATTCTAAGAGTTCTAAGTAGCTGGAAGAATACCTCGCAGATGGTTCCAGATTGATATTCGCAAATGGATATTCTCCCTTGAAGGCTTCCCAAGCTTCCTTTTCTTTCCCTTCCAAAACTTGCTCAAATGAAGGATCCTTCATTATTATTCGAATTTGTGGCCCGTCAAAAATGCCTTCCTTAACTTTTGCATCACTTAATTTCAGAATTTTTTTTTTATGTACTTAAATACCCGTTCTTCTTGGTTCAAACCTTTGGCCAAATTTTTCATCAAACCCAGCTTGATATGCAGGGGTGGAAGTAGAACATCTTTTGGGTCCACTAGAGGCTTGGCAACGACATTTTTCTCGCTAGAGTAAAGATTTCTTGCAGGCCAGTCTCATTTAATATAATGAAATTTCCTATCTCTACTGTCCCACATAAATAAGAAGCAGAGATTAAACAAAAATTTGTGCTCAGCATCGAAAATTTTCACTTGCATTTTACGTTTCAGACATCAAGGATCTAATTTGATTCGGTGTCTGTCTGTCGGTCTTTAGTCAAACCGATGTAACGGGTATATTTTTATAATGTTTCTACTGTACATCTTTCCAGATAATTTCACTGTTTTCATCTCGATTACGATTCCTTTAGTCTCAAGTGGAGCTAGCCAGGAGAATTTATGGCTCATGTTCGAGCTACACATAGTTGAGCCTACAGTACTGGGTTTTTGACATGGTTGTGCTAGTCTTGTTATTGTATCAAGATCATTTATATGGATGAGGAGGAGTTTTTGTAGCTCCTGAACAATCATGTCGCCTTTAGGTGTATTTTCTAAGATACCGAAAAATGTAGAGTCAGCATTCAGACTTCCCCACCTTATTATATAATAATCAGATTTAGAGAAGGCGGTTTCAATCGAGAATAAAAGGTTCATGTGTCTTAGAGTGATTATGTTCAAAGCAGGCATATGCACAGAAATAATTATCACTTTAGGTTGAGTGTTAACAATTTTTATGCCAACTGCTTTAATTTTTCACTGATCCGGTAGTTTATTTTATTAAAAATTGGGAGATGTGTATAAGAAAATTCTAACCCTTCTCCTATCATCACGACAATTCTTCCTGATAAGTGTTAATTACTTGTAACGTAAATTTTTGGTTATTAAACCACAATTATCCAAATGAACTTTAGTTTTAAAATTATTATTAAAAGAGTTTTAAGACTCGTAAGTTGCACAAAACATGATTTTAGTTTTTCGTAATTTAACGTGGTATTTTTGTTGATAAAAACAAAAGAAATATTTTTCAGGATATTAATGAATGCTATCAGAATTCTAAAAATAATTTCGATATTTTCACTTCGGGGAAAGAGGCGGCAGGAGGAGGCACTTTTTTATGGAGGCCTTTTTGAGAAATTAATCCATCTTTTATTCGTTTTGATAGTCCCTCAAGGACTTCTAACAATTATTCTTATGAACTTTAGCTTTAAAATTATTATTAAAAGCGTTATAAGACTCACAATTTGCAAAAAATATACGAAACTGTGGAACTCTTAGGGGGGCAATCAGAACTCTCAAAATTTCTTTTAAAAATTTAGGACGAGGGGCCTTCACAGTGGTTTTAATTTTTGACTTTGAGACTTTTTTTTCGTACTAATTATGAGGTAGGTATGTTATTTTATCCTATTTATAGTATATACTTTTTGATTATTATTATATATATTTTTTGTATTTATTGTGTGCACGTTATCTTACCTTGCTATAATCAGTATCCATGTGACAGATTTTTATATTATTCAATACATAAATAAATATTAAAAGTAAATTAGGAGGTAAACATACTTATGGTGCCAACTC